AATATTTGTTTTTTAGGGGGGGGTAGGGTTAAAAGGGGTTAAAATCCATGTTCTTCAAAATAATTATTCCATTTATCAGTTCTGAAAGAGTGATTTTCAAATATGGCTACCAACATTGAACATGAAACCACTGGAAACAATGACACTCACTCAGTTCAGAAATATAGAAAATTTTAATTGAAGATATTTATATATATATATATAGATATATATATATATCTCTGACAAAACCTCTCAGTGCTATACTCATATGGTGATAGATTTATGAACTTTCAACTGACTCAAAATATCACAACTTCTACTTAGATTAATTATAATTAACGTTCACTAAGCTTCATCATACTTACCATGATCACATTTCAAACCAACCAATTTACTTAAAATAATATTCAACCATAATATTTTAAATGAACATGAAAAATCAAGTGAACAAATAAAAAAAATATATATGTTGATTTTGTTTTCCATATATATTTTGAATAGATATACAAAACTTAAATAAAATGGCATTCAAAAAAGTTATCAAAATTTCAAACATAAGCTGTTTTTACATAAATAAAACTAATGATAACAAAACAAACAGAAATTAAAGGGATTGGTTTTTGGGAAAGGTAACTTACGCGTCTGTAACTTTTGACCTTCATAATAAGGCAGATACACATGGGTAGCATGAGTGGGTTTCCCAAACAGAGTTGTTTCCTCAAAATCGTCACCTGCACCAGAAGAACACCATAATTCACCACAACACTCACTCATTTACACCACTTCTGCTACCTTTCACATTACTTATGTTCGATCAAAATAGGTAATGATTTAGTGTTGACTGAAAGTGTTAACTGTGACACCAAAAGTATGTGTTGGGGCATCATCTCAAAATGTACCTACATTAATACCTAGTATCTAAAATAAAATAATTTATAATTACCTATTTATCCTTTAAAGTGTTTTTATTTTTTTAAAAAGAAAGAAAATTTAATAGATACTCAATATCATTTTGAAATTTTCTAACTTTTTTTAGGATTTTTTAAAGTAATACTAGCTTCTACTTGTAGGACAAAACTAAACAAAAAAAACAAGTGCACAAAAATATTCAAGGATATTGACCTGGCCGATAAAACAATACTGACTTAAATAACAATATAGTACAATAACTAAATATAAACCCATATTCACTAAAATTTTCAATAAACAAAAAATTTAAGCTGTTAACTTAGTTGAAGAGATAATGTATTTGTATGAGAAAAATACATTTAAAGAAGAAAATAGAACTATTGTTAATTTTATACCACATTTCTCATTAAACAAGTTAAAGAAAGCTGTAGGTTCGATGAGCTACATGATGACAAGTTTAATATGTACACAGTTACTTTGAATTTAAATTTTGTATGATCAAATTAATCATTAATATTTCTAATAACTTTTTTATATTGAAAGCAGTCATCCCAAATTAATGCATAATTAAACAAGGGATATTACAGTAGTGGTGTTTACTTTTAAATATTTTGATCATAGTATGATATTTCAAAACTATTGAAGATGTGTTATTTAATTTTCTGTCTCAGGAAAATATCTTATCAAACTCTGTAAGGTGTTGTTTTTAATTAGGTTTACATTTAAATTTTTCATTTCAGAGGAATCTTTTATTAAACTAGGTCAAATTTTAATTTTTTTATTATGAGAAACTGATAGACTTGGAACCAAATAATGCTTTTTTTAAATTGTATTAAGCTTCCATAGCTAAGAATGTTTGTTTTAATAAAAGTATATATATAATGATTGTTGTCCTATTTTGTTAATTTGGAAGTTTGTTTTTGGCATATAATTATGTTAGTTGAATTTGTTAGTAGAAAAGATAGATACACAATTTTCATCTCAAAAGAGTTCCAAGATATAATGTTAGTGGCTATACTGTATTTCAATAACATAAATAATTCACACCTTTCTCATTCAAAAGCACCAAACAACTTAGTCCAAGTTATAAACATACACTCAGGGTACATGTGCTTTCTTTCAAAGGTTGAGGTAGACAAGGGAAGTTTAAAATAATTTAGCAAAAACACACAAATAAATAACATGCAAATATAGCTACAATTAAATGAAGTAAAGAAGCCAGAACATAAAGTGTTTAACATCTAACAGAAAAACAAAAAAACCTGAAGCTAAGAATACTGTGTGATTTTTTATATTAAACTGTAACTTGATTCATACTCTAGTTACTATTATATCTTTTATATGTACATAAAAGAACATAATATTAATCATTAGTTTTTACTTAACATTTTATTTCAAGTTCAAGATAAGGTGGACACATAAAAAACAGTAAGTAGAAATTAGGGTAAATGAGAATGGAAACCATGCCCTACAGATTGAAAGATGAACTGATATAGAACTGGTCTCCTGTTTGTTATATGACATTGAAATAATTAATGCTTTCTTGGATTGTACTTTAGCAAGTACTCAATTATTTATGCTTAATTATATTGGTCTGATTTATATATAGGTGAACCTCACAAAAATCCTTAGCTTTCCTGAATATTTTCTACTGACTGTTAATATACAAAAGACTAACAGACTATGTTATCGTGGTGTAAATTTAAGTTATTTTCTAAGATGCCTCAATGAGTTATTTGTATTCTATTTTTATATTAACAGTTTACCATCAACTTTGTGTTTATTGAATTCTTTGTTCTAAATGCAAAAAAAAACACTATCAAGTATATTTAGATCAATGGCTTTTAAATTAAAGTACATTTAAAAATATTTTTAATAGACATTTTTTTCTACTGATACTGAGCAGCTATGTTTCATTAAACTGTGATTGGATGAAAGTTTTTGAATTATAAAATATCACATGAAGTATATGTTTTTGTTGATAACCTAAACAAACTATTATAAATTGTATTATTATAATGGTACCTACATATAACCGATTATTTTTCAAGGTTTTTCCTAAGATGAAATTTAATGGATCAAACACAAGTTAATTTGACAAAAATGAGATATTATAAGGTGATATACATGTGCATAAGTTATTTTCCTTTTTTAACAGTCCTATGAATTAAATTAATATTTTCAGTAATATGAATTAAAATGACACAAATCTGAAATAAAGAAATAAGTGAAGAAATTTAAGACCATCAAAAAAATTGTTTTACCAGACTGCTTTTTATCAAGATGCATAGAGGCCAGTTGACCCACTACATCTCTATTATCAGAATTAATTTATCATTTAGGGCATTTAATCTACATAAAAGCCAGTGTGTATCACATCACACTTGATTTCTTGAAATAGAAGAAGTCATAAAAGCTAAAATGCATTTATCCAGATAGAATAGCTCAATTACTGTCTGCCCATTATAATTTTAGTGACAGGGGTGCAAGAGGGCCATGAGGGGGGTGGGAGTGCCATGAAACCTTATAAGTGCAGTAAGTGTTGGTATAATATAATAAGCCTAAAGTAAAGACGTAGTGTGGGATCACTTATCCTTGAGCCAAGTGCATAAAATTGATCCTGAAAGTAAAAACATCAATTCAATTTTAAACTTAAATCATTTCTGAATCAACCTATTTTCTGTTATATCACCAACGTTTTTAATAAAAAAACAAATATCTTTAATCAATGGAGACTCTAAATTAAGAAATCAACAAATATTTTTCCAGTTTTGTTGTCTATACATTTCATTTTATACTTTCAGTACATAGACTAACAACATTAGGTTAAACTTTTGTTGCTAAGCAGCATGACATAAAAGTCATTGTTGGAACGTAATGTTACTGAAACGCACTGGCTTTTCTATACATTAGAAACTGTTAATCTAACTGATTTTTACCAACAATTATTCTATGAATATGCCACAAATTCATTTCATGATTGATCTTAATTTTGATTAGATTACAAAGGAATTTACTGATGTTTGACTACTTCAACTGCACTTTTCTGCCTCTTTGTTGGTCAAGCTTGATTTCACAAAATTAATTTATGTCAGTTAGCTACGAAATGTGAGGTTAGGGTGTACTATGGGATTGGTGTAGTAGTACTTGCCCCATCATTTTTTACTAGTTTTTTATAATAACTCTGTTCTTTTATATTTGTTCTTGTTAACTTCAAAAAAGGAAGAAAAAATAACCTCAGTGATCAGTCTGAAAGGGATGTCACAGGCTCTATAATTTGTGAATTTGTTGTTAATTACTGTGTTACTAGTATCACATGATTGGAAAGTGATACTAACACCTAGAATATTGGAAAGTGATAACAGAATCTATATAACTAAAAAAGGGTTATTATTATGATTAAATTGATAAATAGTATTTTAACCTCCAGAACTGATAAAGATGTAATTAATAAAATTATTGGGTACAACTGAAATAGTGACAGCAAAAACTACAACAGTTGTGAAAATTTTAATTTTACAATATTATTTCATTCATTTTAAAGCCACATTTCTTTATCCCATAGAAAGAATTGTGAAGTAAAATGTCTATAAACACAAAATGGTTAACTTAAAAAAAAAAGTAAAAACTCAGCATATATACATATATAACTAAAAACTGTACATGTAAATTCAAGTTTTAAATAAACTAAATTATAACTTAAAATCAAATATTCTTATTGTCTGTGCTAGATTTTTATCTAATTTAATTATTTCTTAAAAATACTTAATGTATCTCAACCCTACCTCCCTCATCTTCTGAATCACTCAAAAATGTCTCCTGCATAATTTCTGGAGCAACAACTTTGTATTTATCTTCAGTAATCACAGTAGTGGTGGTTGTCGTAACAGTTTCTGTTACCACTTTCAAACTTTCGACCACAGATATATAACCTAGCCGCTGGGCAATAGACAGAGGTGTTTGCCCTTGCTAAATTCACAATGGAAATAAAAAGTGATATTAGTAGGATGGTAATGCAAGCATCTGGTAATCTTACATTTTATGAATTCTTTATTAATTACTGTATACATACAATACAAAGTACAAGTGTTCACGAATCTCAATTAATTCATACATTGGTTTTACAAAATGAGCATTTGTTATATTATAATCACTTAACAAATAGTATTTCCACTGAATAAGCTTTGCCAAAAGTAAATCACAGTGACTAATGCAAACTTGGCATGCTACTAACATTCTAAGACTTTTACAGTATAATTTTATTCCTCTATAACTCATTGTATAGTTATAGTTCTGTCTTGTACTATAACTCATTGTATAGTTATAGTTCTGTCTTGTACTATAACTCACTGTATAGTTATAGTACAAGACAGAACTAACGTCATGGTGGAGTGCAAGTAGTTCAAACATCCCCATTGCACACCTACATGCTCACTAATACTATTGAGAAAAGAAACTTCAAGTGCATGTGGGCAAAAAATAACTGTCAGGTTCTTTGACAAGCATCAGTATTACAATGTATCCATTAACACTAGAGCTCACTCTACTCAATGTACATGTAGTAATGTCACTGTTATGTTCAAATAATATTTGTTACCATTCTACACTTACATCAGATGCTATCAACTGAGAACTAACAAAAATAATTCTAAACAAAATTGTTATGAAAAGTGGTTCACTGCTGGAACTTCACATAATGAAACATGACATTTCTCTTTAACATACAATTTTATGGTAAATGAATGGTTCACATTAACCATATAACAGCTTTTAAGATGTACTGAAATTGAACTTGCTTATCTGGATATATATTTATTTTTTAATACCATGTAAGTCAGTCATTTATATAAAAATAGGTATATGAAAAAATATAATTTTGTCCTTTAAAAACATGTAAAACATTATAAAAAATTGCTTAACTATTCATCTTATTTATGAAAACTATTAGAATTATAACAGTTGGTTATTAGTATTCAATGAATTTGGAAAATAACAAATAATTGTCAAATACAAACAAAACTCAACCTATATAACCTAGTGTAATTACTTTAACACTTAATAAATATGTATGTATACATTAAATGTGAAATTTGTTCCTTGTGAATAACGATGTATTTTAATTGTATAGCACTATTGAAATATGGAAAAAGAGAAACCAGTATCAGTGACAAATGACAAACTTTGCAATAAACACACACGCATATAATGCTGTGATGTACACATACTTTCATTGATCCAATGCCAAGAATATTTGGATACCATGCTAATCAACTGACTTACTTAATAAAACAGAGCTACTTTCCTCATGCATTAAAGCATTCATTTATCAAACAGCTAAAATAGAATTGAAATAACAAAATTTTTCCTTTACATGCATAGTTTCATAATGGACTACCTACAGTGTGCCCATCTCATCGACTGACCCCCGAATTTTAGCATGATAGGTCCTCAAATTTACTGCTGAGCACATTTTGTGGAGGGGGGGGGAGCAAAAGCATCACAAGGTTTAGAATGTGTCAGGATGACATCATCAAATAATATACAAGTCAAAGTATTCAAATCATCAAACAAAAATGACACAAGATTAAAGAGCCAACATTTGCAGACAAGTGCAACATGTCTGTGCCACGCAATCCCAACATGGTCAATTCTGACACCAGAAAATTTGAAGACTGTCTATCTCAGTACTTGGGACCAGAAAGGTTTCTTTGTATCAAATTGCATGTAAGTTGGTTGACATACACATGAACAGTTCACAAAACACCAAACTGTACTATCCTCATTGAAAAATTCAGCAAAAGATAAAAATTCCAAAATTGTCTATGTCTCTGTTTGGGACCTGCAAAGAGTATCTTTGTACTAAATCCCACATAAATTGGTAAAAGTATGGCCAAGAAATGGAACAAAACACCTAAAATTCTGGGTTTATCTAACTTTTTTTGACCCTCTAAAATGACTAAAATGGGCATATCCCATATTTTTGTATGTATATGTATGGAACCTTGTGAAAAAGTATTTTTGTACCAAATCACAAGTAAATTGGCCGAGAAACTGACTAAAAAGTGCTCAAGTCATCAAACAAAAATGACAAGATTAGAGACCCCCACCCCTAAAAAGACTCAAAATGGACAAATCCAGCTTTTTTGCATGTCACTGTTTTAGGCACATGAAAATATGACTGTACAAGAGCCCAAAATATACATTTTTTGGGTTGTTTGACCTTTCATTCCATAAAATCCTTCAAAAGGCCTAAATAAAAAAAATTAAAAAGGTGTCTTGGCATACCGGACCAAGTTTCAGTTAAATCTGCTGAGAAATAGTGGTTGATTGAAAAGTGTTTGGAAACAAGAAGAAACAACAGAAAACAGTATGTCTCTGTGGATACATAATTAAAATTAAATGTTTCATTGTAATTTTCCAGTATTATTTATTTTTCTTGAAGTAACAATCATTTTCTTTATATTATAAAAACCACATGTTTCTGACAAATAGCCCAAGACAATGAAACTTGTCACAGTTATTTGGTGTCGCACATTGTCCATGTATTGTACATTCCCAGGTCGCCAAATGAATGTTGAGTCAATGTTAACTAGCCAATATAAATTTATATTCATTCTAACATGTTTCATTTTAATTTAAAACCTTTCTTTTTCTTTGACTCCCCAATCATGTGAATTGAGCCATTTCATATATTTTGACATTTTTTACTCCTGGTAATGATGTGACCTAGGAAATGTGATAAATTCTTCATTTTATAGCACCATTTTTTAACATTTTAAAAATTACTTTTTTAACCATCAGTGTCATATCCCTAGAAACTTTTGCTCTCCATGCAACTTTAAATTTTCAACCAGATTTAGTAGACTGTCAGTGTCAATTTGTTGATCAAACATTTACAAGAAACACGTTACAAGGTTAAAATAAGTTTTATACTGTAGCGGCATAAATACGATAATTAACAAAAAGGATGAAGGCAGTAAGAAATGGCAATGTTTTACAATGCAGCAATAACATGGAATGTAAAGAAGATGAAAACACACGAGTTGACAAACAAAAATTATATTTTAATGGACTTAAAATTCAATGGCTTGTTCTTATTTTGCCAATTCCTAACTTACATTTGAAATAACAGAAGAAAACTCACAAACTACTTGTATTTACAAGGGTAAGTAAATATTTCTTATTCTAATATATAATGTACAAACACAGTAAAAAAAATAAGTTGTTTTTACTGTAAAACTATATAATAGCTTATCAGCACTCTGTCCACTGCGGGAAATCAAATCTCAGATTTTGGCATTGCAAAAGAAAGGAAGTGTAGCTTAAATGAAGGTTTGATTTGGTTTGTTTTGAATTTCGCGCAAAACTATTTGACAGCTATCTGTACTAGTCATCCCTAATTTATAAGTGACAGACTAGAGGGAAGGCAGCTAGTCAACACCACCCACCACCAACTCTAGGGCTACTCTTTTTAGTGTGGGATTGACCATCACATTATTATGCTTCCACAGCTGAAAGGGGCGAGCATGTTCGGCGATGATGATTTGAACTCATGACCCGCAAGTTGCTAGATGAGCACTCTAGCCACCAGGCCATTAAATAAAAAAAGAACAAACAGAAAGCGTAAAATATTACTTATATATTTCTAGAATTTGTATCGTGCTGTAGTCATGCATTTTTTAAAAAGGAATAGTTGATCACATACTGGCCAATATTCCCTTTAACATATAAAGTAATAGAAATAATTAATTAAGGAAACACACAAGATTCAAATTTGGATTCATCTGTAAAGAGCACATCTATAGCTTTTCTCATTCCAATGCCCATTTCAACCTTTTTGTTTACCTTTTCTCAACAATGGTTTTTCAGCAGCTACATGTTCACTTAGGCCATTTCATTCTAATGTTTATAATACTGTTTTTAAAGTAATTTAAACCAGTATTTACAACAAGGTCAGTATTTGACAGTCTTCTTTGTTGTAATGGACATGAGACTTTTGGAAACTCTCAACTTTCTACCTCAACCATTCTATAATTAACACTGCCAGATTAGTGTACCCTTTCCAATATTGTATACAACCTCTACTGAAACATGGTGTCTTTCCACAATTGTTGACATGGAGTATCTTTCACTAGCACTTTCACTTTGATTTATACACTCTTGTTATACAGTATTCCAGTCCTGGAAGCCATGATTGCATCACATTGCTACTACTGGTGATATTATGACTGCTTGTACTTTTATAAGCTTTATATTGGTGTGGCATTTTCAGATTAGTTGGATGACAACCAATTACAATTTAACAATCGACATTTAATTACTCTAGTGCAATTAATTTTCACCCCATAAAGTGATGGCATTCCCATATTATTTGCCTTTTATATCACCTTTTCCTCACCATTTCTGTTATTATTTTCACTGTCACATATTTGGAATGAAAATAGATCCATTATAATATATGGAATAACTGGAAAGCCAAGTATCTTGTAATGCCTTTCATGGACGTTGAACTTTGTTTAAATACGGAGAGGAAGGGGCAATGATAAGAAAGAATTAGTATGGAAGTGATGCGAGAAATTTTTTTACTAAACATTATTCATAGTAATGTGGTATGTCCCCCTTCTGCCCTCCCCCACCTCCGGCTGATCTCATGATCAACAAATCATCCTAACTCAGTGTTTATGTGATAATCATACAATGTAGTGTATACATTACTATACAGTATCACCAAAATGCTCAGAAAGCAAGGGCCGCAACACCCTTTTGAGTTTTTGTACTCGTAGCTATTACTTTCATCATGTGGTGGTTGCCATTTCATCTGCCAATGAGATAGCTCTTGTTGACACACATTGTCAACTAATGGCATCTCAAGTTTTTCAAAGCTTTTAGGTGGCTATAACCACAGCAGGGGTGGGGTTAATCTGGCTGGTGAAAGTTTGAAAGTCCAAAACAGACTACCACACCCAGTG